CATCCACAACAGGTACCTTGCCAGTGAGCCATCATACTGTGTTGAATAGTATATACACCAGTGTCAACATTAGATCGGGTCAAAAAGGGCATACATATTTTAAATTGCAATTTAGAATTTGTAATAGTCTAGAAAAGTTGCTCCTATATAAAGTTTATCAACCTCCAACATATGGTATTAGTCTTGTATTATTACAGTAAAAGATGGCACCAATTTGCAGCCCTTAACTAATACTACGTAGATCTATCCATACTACTAATACTGAAATGTGCTCCTTAATTTGGGTTACTTGATCAACAAACACCTTTCCCTCGATACCAATATTTTGTTCTTTTTTCCATCAGTATATAATACAGTTATCTTTTATTTTTCCTCTTCAGTGTACAACAGTTTACATTACCCATCATCATCTCTGACGTTTGCCTCGAGCTGCTGGAGGCTGCCCACCATCCGTGCCTCCACACTCGCTTATTTTATTTTTCTAAGTCGGGCATTTTCACCTATATGAAGGCGCCAATTCATGATATAAGTGTTAACAAATTATGTTTCATGAATATTGTTCAAGTGACAACTGAGAGCTCGACTCCCAGACACTGAACCACCCGATCGAAACTTCTATCTAACCGACGCTCTTGTAGTGATAAGGACCGGAAATTACATGTAAATGCTCACTAACAGAAAAACAGAGTTGCGTCTGCAGGAAATAATGGGAGACGTTTTTTATTCAGCTGATCAACAAAAATCACAGATGGGTCAGAGAAATGTAGCTCCAAGCTCGACTCCTGATTCAGCGCTTCGTTTGTGGTGCCCAGCCACTCAGAACTCATGATACAAACGACAGGTTGACATATCCCCATAGGTAGAGGTTCTGCATGATGAATACATTCTGAATAAATTACACGTAATGTTATGTAGATTATCAGAATTTATTGTTTTTGCCAAACAAAGATTTTTATTTGGTATATTACGATATATTTATTTTTATAAGAAAATCTACAAAATGGCGTAAACGAACCGAAATAACCACTAATTTGTACCAACTGACACAGCTGGTAGTCAAGGCGGGCGGGGGAGAGGGCTCAGGGGTGGCAATGTGTGGTGTGTGTGTGGTAATGTGTGGTGTGTGTGATGATAGATGATGATGATGATGAATAATGATGATTGATGCTGCTGAATGATCCCCATTTATTATAAGACAATTCACCATCACTACGCACACACACTTGGTTTGATTTACAGGGGTGAGGTTAGGTTAGGTTTCATTTCACCCCACATTATGGCTTCGTCCCCGTGTAATAATAACCTACATTAGAGTTCCTCATTTACTATTTATGAATGTTCAGTCATACTAATTCCCTCAGTGGCAAACCTCTGGATGAAAGACGAAATATAAAATGATAATACACGCGTAGTTGCTAGTGGCGTGGTTGTTAGTGGCGTAGTTACCAGGGGGCGTATCCAAAGGCTCAGTATATTTGTTTACCATATATAAGAACACCTGATATCGGGACACAAGCCATCTGGGTGGTTAGTTTATCCAATGTTGGTGCAGGCGAAAACCGGAAATCGTGTTACGTCAAACATACATTTAAACCAGAGGCGATTCGAACCCTGGACTTGTGGGAGAGAAATACGCACGTTACGAAATACAACCCAAGATCCAAGTGAACCCCTGCTGTTGGTTCGTCTCTTTCTCCCTGGCTGGATTTTCAACCTGAAGTGATTGCCCTCGGTGGACCGCTCCCGAAATCCCACGTGAACCCTGTTATTCTCTGCAAATACCACTTCTCCAGGATCGCCCACTGGTACCCAGGTAGGGTCGTCCTCTACACTGATGGTTCTGTTGACTCCGCTACAGGTCGGGCCGGGGCTGGTGTCTACATCTCCCGTGCTGATGCCTCTGAGCCTATCAAACTGTCTCTCAGAGTTTCTGACGGACATCCTCCACTCAGGCGGAACTATTAGCCCTCCTTGCTGGGGAAGAAGCAGATGGTTTCTGCCCCTTGCTTGTCTGCTGCGATTCCAGGTCTGCTCTCGACGGGATCGCATTTGGATCAGGGGAAAATAAGGACCTCATCCTCCGAATACGAGGGTTAACATCCACACTTCAGGATGCAGGCCGTCCTGTGACATTCCTATGGATACCCAGTCATGTCGGTATCTTGGGGAATGAGGCAGCAGATGGCCTTGCCAAGACTGGCTGCATCAAGGCCACACCTGACTACGTTGTTCCTCGAACACTTTTACAGCTTAGGACCCAAATTCGCCGCAAACAGAGAAGCTCGGGAAGCAGCCATCCCCCTGGACTCCCCGCCCACCTGGTACGATGTCCTCCGTAAGCTTCCTGACCTCTCGTATGTCTATGGGAAAGGGTCGCGGAAAAGGGACGTGATTGCTGCCCGTATCATCATTGGGTATGACTTTGCTTGGGAGATTGGTATCCCCGCATCCCCTGAGCAACGCTCTTGTGCATTATGCAGAAGACCCGACAGCCGCACCCTTATCCACTACCTCCTAAGATGTCCCCACACACAACGCTTCCGTGACGCCTGCTGGACCTCCACTCCCCGACCCCCTGACGGAGACACGATGATCCTCCCCATACTGGCCAGATATTATGTAAATAACATTGATTATGTGTTAAAGGAATATCCTTCCTTCCTTCCTTAGGCTTTAGTAAGCCCCTTTATAATATTTATGCTGTATATACTTGTGACACTTGCCAGATGCTTCTGGTGTCATTGTACAGGGGTACCTAGTGACAGCACTAGGATCCCGCTTCCTCTATCAAGGAATAAACAATTGAAATTGAATTGGTCCAAGTGACGTGCTAGGTATTTACACTATCAAGGGCAAATAATTATTTTGGAAATGTTGGTTAGTGATCCCATTACATAATTTACTTCAGCAATAGCAGCATAAGGGCCCCGGTGACGATACCTACCACTCTTACCCTAACAAAAACTTCAACTGAACAAGGTGTTTATCATGACATAACCAGGCCGATAACCCTCATGTATGTATGTATGATTTTTACTCAATAAATTCATACAAAATCAAGGTCCCAGTACAGGTGGATACGTACCCCGCACTGCAACAACAATGTACCGATACTAATTCTAGGATTTTATTCATATATCCACATGCTAACTTTGGTTAATAGCCATCTTAATAGCAGTATTATCTGTCTATCCACATACTAGCTTAGGTTAATAGCCATCTTAATAGCAGTATTTTCTGTCCGAGCCACGGCATCCACAACTCCTGTACACACGGCGGAGAGCTACACTACCGCCTCCTCCTCCCTGGACCCCACAGTACAACAACACAACTTATCACCTTACCTTCACTCAACTGCTAATAACCACAACGTAGAGTCCTGGAAGTCCTCACGACGCCACAAACACGAGGTAATCCACAAACAGCAAACGTAAAACATGGAAATAGCGATCAAATACTGTATGACCACACACACGTGTTGCCTCCACCACTGCCGTACCTCTAATGATCACTGGCGAGTGGCGAACCCGAGGTGCTTCGATTCCTTAATTCATTGGTTCGCTTTACTGATTCATATGAAAATAATCGACTGGACGGCGGAAAGAACACCATACACGATTGGTCCGTCATCTATAATCTCATTAATTTTCTTAAATCACTTCTATCCACCATTAGCTAAAATAAATCTGATAATTATTAACGAAAGAGTCATGAGTTTCGAAGCTTCGTCAACGATCCGCTCTTACGTCACTAAACTAGTCCACAACCAAACAAGCAGTTGGCTTACACGGTTAGCATAAGCGTAATACTTCCATTACTATTTTTATTATTATTACTATTATTATTACTATTATTATTATTATAAATATTATTATTATATTATTATTATTATTATTATTATTATTATTATTATTATTATTTGGGGTTTTAGGCCGTGAGACGTGAGTTAATGTTCGACTGATGACTCGCTCTTTGCTCATGAAGATTATAAAAATCATCAAATATTAATTTATTTTTCTTTCTAGGGTGTGTAGATGGGAGGAAGGGTGTGGATGGGAGGAGGGGGTGGTGGAGTGTAGGTGTGTGTTAAGAGGAGGTGGGTGGGAGGGAGAGGGGAGGATGGGAGGGGTGGATGGGAGGGAGGGGGTGGATGGGAGGAGGGGGGTGGGTGGGAGGAGAGTGGGGATGGGGAGGGAGGGGGGTGGGTGGAGGGTGTGTAGATGGGAGGAAGGGTGTGTGGATGGGAGGAAGGGTGTGTGGATGGGAGGAAGGGTGTGTGGTTGGAGGTAGGGTGTGTGGATGGGAGGAAGGGTGTGTGGTTGGAGGTAGGGTGTGTGGATGCGGGGAAGGGTTTGTTATTTATTTTAGATTGTTTGGCTTTCTGAGGCTGGCTTGAGGTTTACGGCTGACTAGCTGAAGTGAACGGCTGGCTGGCTGAGGTGAATGGCTAGCTGGGCTGAGGCAAATATCTGGCTGGCCAAGAACCCCACCAAACAGATCATCAATGCCAGACAGGCTGTAAGTCGTCATTGGCAAGTACTGGGCAAGAACTGGCTCCAGAATGTATCTGCACCTGCGCAGTGTTGGTCAAGCCTGGTCTTGAAGGAGCTCACTCTCGGTGCTGTCACACTCTCTGGCAGAGTGTGCCAAGAGTTTACAAACTCAGAAAAAGTTTGCCTTGACAATTTCCGAACTTGTGGCTTCTTCAACCATAAGCTGTGACCACCCGCCCCGCTAGGCTAGTGGGGCACGTCCCCCAGCTCCAAGTATGAACCCTCGACTGAGTAATGCCCTCTGAGTTGTTTATAAACTTCAATTAAGTCGCCCCTTGACTACCTGTAGCATAAGCTAGGCAATTCCTGTAGGGGGAGGGATATAAATTTGCCCCACTTAAGAGTTTGATAAAAAAAAAGAATATGAACCACTATGAGTGTATTGTATGTGGAGATTAAAGATTCACATGGTATACTGTGCGTGTAAACTGAGAATATGAACAAGTACTGTGTGTACTTGTACTGTAGAGTACATAGTTGTACAGTATAATGATAATATTAACAGGATGATGTTCATATGTGAGTGATGTCATTTGTTTTTGTTCATCGTAGTGGGAGATGTTTTTAATGTGTATCTTCTTTCTTAAAAACTACTGAATCATCTCACCTTTAATTCTAGATCACTTTATTACTTTGGTCCAATATGTGCGCAGAAAAATCACGATTCTTTTAACTGGTCTTATTATATGGGGTTCTGAGAGCAAACAAACCAAAACTGTACATTTGTGTTCTTGTCATAATTAGATCATATAAGATGAAAGTTATCTCAAATATACCTTGCTCTAGGCCTCACAAGATTTTGTTTACCGAGGTCAGAGGACACATAACTGCCACAGTCCACAAACAGGGGTATAGATATATTAACATATATTTCTGTCATTTTATAAGGGTCAGGCACTTGGACACCTTACTTCTAGGAAAGATTAGAATGTCTACAATTGCACAGTTTATACTACTGAAGAGTAAAGGGCATCTTAATATAAATTTCTAAGCACTTCAAAGGGCTTTACAATACTTGGTTATATGTACAGTATACATCTGGGAGTTAATGGATCGTTGCCCCACTGGAGGTTACAGCCTCAAGTGAGAGAAACTGTCAGTACAGGTAACTATCGGCACCAACTTCTTTGGAGTAACAGTTAAGCATAGAAGAAACTGTCAGCAAATATTGTGACAACACCATATGTGAGCTTTAATTATTGATTTTACGATACTCATTCTCAGGCTGTGAAGTCGACCAACGCCTGGCTACTAACAGATGGGTTAAACAAGGGCATCACCTGTGTAGTGGGACACGCAGTCAACAGAGCTCAGTCTATTATTAAGGTTTGTCTACAGTCCTTATTTGGAGCCAGTTATAGAAGTTAGATAGTTTTCAGATAGCACGAGATGACTCAAGGCATTTATTAATTGCTTTGTGCTTCTTGAGTTGACAGATTGTACATTTGTCTATATCAGGAGATAAGGCTGCCAGACCTCATTAGAATGCTTTCATAAGTAGGCTAATAAGTTTTTTGCTTGTATAGTATTATGAGGAAGTATTTTACACTTTAATACATAACTCAGAGATAAGAGTTTGCTTTTAATAACATCACTACACCTGTACTGAGACTTGTGTAGTTATGATAGTGAACATTACCACAATTGAGACTCATTTGTAATATTAATCCTTATGGAGCACTTTAATATTTGGCGGTACACACACACACACACACACACACACTCACACACACACACACACACACACACACACACACACACGGTTTCAGTAAATTTGTTCATTGTGTGAAGATTTTGTATGTAAGACTAATAATAATTTTGTTATGAAAGAAGTCTTGAGGACATCAAAGTGATACCGAGAGATGTTTCAGGTGGGGGACAGGATGGTGTCACAGATTCATTGCCTGGGAGTGACTCCTTATGGTCTTGTTAAGAATAAATCTCGTCTTGTTAATAAGGACCCTGACCAGTTCCACTCTGTGTTGTAAGTGTTCATACATATTTAAGTTGACTTTGTGCACAGTAGCTAAAACAACTATCTGTACATACTTACCATGGACGATAACTTTGGTATATGAGGGCTGTCACTAGTCACACGTAAAATTTCGGAGCATATCGACCCCCACCTGCACAGATAGTTGTTTTGGCTACTGTACAGTGTTCTTAGTGGACAGATGGCAGTAAAGGAAACACAACTAAGAGATGGAGCTTTATTCCAGTTTCCTTCACTCCCATAATTGTCCTTATGTGTTAAGAGTTTACTTAATTTTTGAAGAGTCCTGTACACACTTACTGCTGCTCTTGAGAAACACACGTAGGAAGTGTATTTAATGTTAGTTTTATTAATTTTCTCTGGCTAGTAGAAGTAGAGTAATGTGTAAGTGGGTTTTATTTTTATTGTGAAATATTTATACATAATTTATTTAATTTTTTAACTTATTTTGACTGTATTTATTTATTGTCATGTACTGTATAGTATACATTTTATTTCATAGTTTATTCAGATAGAATGTTTGACTTGATGGTTAAAAAAATCTGTTACTAGATATGAAGTGGATGAAGAGGGTGATGAGGGCCAGCCCAC